GTTTTGGCGACAATGTTTGCTACCCCCGATACTCGGCATCAGCGCTTAAGCAGGAAATAACTGGTTGTCTTTTGGATTGCCAAGAATCTAAGTTACCTCCAAGGAAGACACAATAACCATGTAAAAACCCAAAAATAGTGATAAAAATTTTCATCGAAAGACTATCAATTTTATTCATAAATTGTTTCAAAAACCATCACAAAATATAATATCTAAAACATTAGAGTATAATTATTCAAAATGAGGAAATCATGAGGGGAGGATGTTGTTCCATCACACCGGGCCCTTCCCTTTCGAATCGGAAGTACCTAAAACCTTAAAGATAAACTTTAGGCATAAAACTTAATGAGTTCCCCAAAGTACATCGTATCAAAAATACAGCTGGGCTTAACCTTGGGGTAAAATCCAACCCAAAGTACAGATATGGGCCCCACCATGGGGCCTCGCCACGGGGTGTATTTCAACCCGATCAACATAAATGGGCCCCCGCCCTAGGGTATCTTTCAACCCAATCATACAACTGTGGGCCCTGCCTTAGGTTCTATTTTAACCCGAACATACAATAGTGGGCCCCGCCTTAGGGTTTATTTCAACCCATCATACAAATCCATATAAGCCACATAACAACTATCATCGTAAATAACAAAATAATGGGATGACCTTGGTACTTTCGACCCATGAATACAGTGAGAAGAATCACCTCACATACAGAAGAAAAGCTGAAACAATACACTGCGCCGAAATCAACTCTACCTGTAACCTTTATAAATAAAATGACCAAAACTCAAAATACTCTAAATACCCCTAGTTCAAACTTTGGTCAAAATCCAGGTCAAGGTTATCTCACCCTGCCCAACCATTGGTGGAAACACCGAGCAGTGTGGCGTAGGGATAATTGGATCTCGTTAATAGGTACAATCAAACACAAAGGTATATTTTAAACATTTATTTATTATTGATTTTTGAAGAATTACATTGTTTTAGGGATAGACACAAATTCCTGAAATCACTATACTATACTTCAACAGCTTCCTTGCAAACTTCTTTCATACTTGGGGGACACTCTTCCATACTCATCTTCCTGAGAATACATGTATTTTAAAAGTCAACATAATGTTGGTGAGTACACGAGTTTTTATTTTTAAATTGCTTTAAGAATACTTTTCTTTTATGTAAACATTTCTTATTTATTTACCCACCTTTTATCTTTTAGGTTATGATTCTTAAATTACTAACTTTCAGACTATCTAACGATCCTAACGTAATTTAATTAGGATCATCTTTTGTTAACCTTAATTTACTATCTTTTAAGGATTTCTAACGATCCTAACGTATTTTAAGTACCATACCAGGCATCCCTAATGGTAATCTAAGCTCTAAGGCAATATTTAATGTATTAACGTGAGCCCCTATAATAAACGCTATGACCGTAAATGTAGCCCCAATTACAATGCTTCATCGGACGTTGAAAACTACCTTATATGGAAGGTATCTTATCGGGATTGTAGCTAGCAATCGCAAGTAGGGTTTTCATGGCCATGTATAGATATATACATAACTTACTAGCTCTCACAAGATTAACAATTATAGGTATTAGGGATATGCCGAATTAAATCAAGGCTTTAGGATGAATAACTAACTCACTAATGCATTAACCCTAGGCTTTTATCTTTTAATGTTTTATTTTTATCTTAACTACCCCTATATATGTGTATATACACACACACACACACACACACACATTATCTTTGTATATACCTCTCCCGGGTATATATCATCAAATTATATATATATATATATATATATATATATTTATGATTTCATAATTATCATATATATATATATATATATATATATATATATATATATATATATATATATACACCATAATTATGGTTATTTTAACAGGATATTTGGGCAGCATAACAACTAAGTACAATGTATATCCTAAATCTTGTCTAGCATAACTCTTAGTTACTTAAGGGTTTCCTAGGGATTTGGCCACTATAACATCTAGGTAATACCTAGATGATCGGGTATCATATCCTTTAGACACAAATCATAGCTTAAATCGAGGCATAGTATCAATAGTTATACTATCCTAAGGCTTCTAGCTTATTATAAAATGACTTAATATTTATAAAATAAATAGTTTTATAAAGTCATTTGTTAAGCATGTAGCCCCCCCCCCCCTACGTGAAAACATTTTAAAACAGTAAAATAGGTGTCGTGAACTCACTCTATGGTTTGAAACCGCTGATGCAAGGTAGAGATGATCTCGGAACTTCGGGGACCGCTCCACGAGGTAACACAAAACCAGAGAGAAATAGAGGAGTGTTTTGAAGGTGTGTTGGACTGAATAGCACAACCCTCTATTTATAGTCGAGTTTTTAGGATGCACGTCGTGCCTTTCCTAGGCACGATATGTATTCGAACATCGTGGCTCCACAAGAAGTTGCCACGTGTCCCCACCCAACTCAGCCACATCACTCTCAATCTGTTCGAATCCAGTGTCATGTGTGTGGCACGCAGTGAAACACACTTGACGCGTAAGTAGGGATTTTTCAAAATTCATTAATTCCTCATGTTTGCTCTAATCTATACCTTTTCTATATCTATGTGACGATCTCAACAGGTACTACAACTTTCCTTTTGGTTGTTTTGGTCGGTTTTAACTTTCATTTTCGAGCCCAACGGAGGTAAGAATTAATGATTTTATAAAAATCATAACTTACTGATACAGATCCCGTTTTCGAAAAACTTTTTCCTAAAGTTTATATCTCGAGGAGTACTACGAAACTCCTTTTGCACTTTTATTTAAAACTAAAACAATCTCTAAGTACTGTTTCGTCGTAATTAATTTTAACAATGTGGTTGATTTCTATTTTTAGAAAATCCATAACTCTCTCCTTCAGAGTCAGATTTTTACGAATCTTATATCCTTAATATCACATTAACGAGTACTATCCAAGTATGCTAACCGAATATGTAACGTCCCAAAAATAAGACCCAAAATTTTTATTTTTATTATAAAAACAGTAATCCAAACACATTGCCATACAACCCAAAAAAATACCAAAGTATGTCACTACATCATATCATATCAGAGTAAATTTCAAAATGTGGAAAAGGTGGTGTGTGCTCTGCAGTCATCCCAGGCTATTCCTTTTCGATCCTGAATTACCTGAAACATAAAATGAAAACTGTAAGCCTAAATCTTAGTGGGTTCCCCACAATATCCCATACCATACATAAATAAACACATACTGGTCCCCTACCCCACATCGGGCCTCGCCCGACATCAGGTCCCACTCGGCCTCAGGCCCCGCCCGACATCGAGCCTCGCTCGGATTACAGATATGTCATTCATTAGGCCCCACCTGGACATCACATCGAGCCCCAACCGATACTCATAATAAACATATAAACATATAATCATGCTAACACATGTGATAATCACAAAAACAATAACATATAATACAGTCATCGGACCTCGCCTGACATCGAGCCTCGCTCGGTATACATACTAGCACATAACACATGCAAGAGTCATGCAAACATCTAACATCCTATCATAATAATCACTCGACAACATCGGTGCCTTCTAATGTTCCAAAAATAACACCCAAAATTTTCATTTTTAATTTTATAAAAACAGTAATCTAAAACATTGTCATACAACCCAAAAAGACCAAAGTATGTCACTATATCATATAATATCATATCAGAGAAAATCTCAAAATACAGAAAAATAGGTGGTGTGTTCTTTGCAATCATCCTGGGCTTTTCCCTTTCGTTCCTGAAGTACCTGAAACATAAAATGAAAACCGTAAGCCTAAAGATTAGTTATGTGTTGTGATATGTTTATGCGATATTAATTATTGGCGGGCGAGCCACTGTAACAGGCGGGGCCTAACTAAAACAGATTTGTATCCGAGCAGGGCTCGAAGCCAGGCGTGGCCCGAGGTAGGGGCGAGGCCCAAGATAGCGGGCGTGGCCCAGTATGTGCAATATGTGGTTATGCATGGTATGTGGTAAGGTGGGGAACTCACTAAGCTTCATGCTTACGGTTTTCAATTTTGGTTTCAAGTACTTCCGGTAGCGGAGGGAAGAGCTTGGGGTGATCGCATGGCACATACCATAGATTAGAAAGCATAAGAATGTTTACTCAGATAATGAATATGTGTTTTGAAAACTTATACTCATATTATGTTTTGGAATGACGACTTTACTTTAAGTAATGATTTATTAAAAGAAATTTTTGGTCTTAAATTTTGGGTCGTTACATGGAGATGGGACTCTCCGTAAGGCCCCTGATATTTGGAGAAAATGGTAAATGCCTTTTCTACCCCTCATCCATTAACTCTTGTATTGGCTGAATAGGTAATTATGTCTGGATAAAATGACCATTTTACCTCTGTACATGTTAAGACAAGCTAAATTAAATAGAGGATTATCATTACAAGATAACAAGTACTCAAAACTTGACATCCAGGTACAGTTATTAACTTGTTCCAAGTCCTAGATTAAAATTTGTCATTAACTCATAATGGATAAGGATTACAGTTATTACTTCATTTCCGTAATTTTACTTGTTCCAAGTCCTAGATTAAAATTTGTCATTAACTCATAATGGATAAGGATTACAGTTATTACTTCATTTCCATAAATATTATATTTGGGGTCCCTCTCTTATGTAAAGATTGGACCCTTGTTCGGTAGGATGCCAACATGTGATAGTTTCAGGTACTACATGTACATTTTTTTTGTAATTACTAATGACAAGATAACTGTAGAAAATAAATTTATGGTACTTGAATGTAATTATCAATCTAATGGATCCGTGATACTAGAAAGTAGGTTGAGAACTACTTATATAGATTCATGTGACTTTTATTTTGAAACATTTTAAAATAAATGAATGGTCAATCGATCGATTACATAGAATTGAATAGATTTTTCAACTTTATTGTAATTACATGTTTGATTTCTGGAATCATATGAGGATTGATGCTGTGATGCAGTCACCACAAGACTTGGAAAAATTATATTCAGAAGTTCATCTTCTTAGATCATTAAAACACAATAACATCATCAAGTTCTTTGATTCGTGGGTTGATGATAAGAGGAAAAATGTAAATATGATAACTAAGCTCTTCACATCCGGAAGCCTTAGATAGTAAGAAATAATATATTTGATATCATATATATATATATATATATATATATATATATATATATGTGTGTGTGTGTGTGTGTGTGTGTGTGTGTAATTAATGTAATAAATTATATATTTTACTCGACTCTTAATTTGCATTTATTAGATATCAGAAGAAACATAAAACGGTTGATTTGAAAGCGATAAAGAAGTGGGCAAGACAAATTCTAAATGGTCTTCACTACCTTCACAGTCAAAATCCATCTGTGATTCACAAGGATTTGAAATGTGACAACATATTTGTGAATGGGAACAATGGAGAAATCAAGATTGGTGATCTTGGATTGGCAACTGTCATGCAGCAACCAATTGCCAAGAGTGTTACTGGAAAGACTAACTAAAAACAAAACATGTTCTTCAAGTGTAGTATGAATTTAATGTTGTTGTTTTTTTCACTAGGAACACCTAAATTCATGGCACCAGAGCTTTATGAAGAGGAATACAATGAACTTGTTGACATATATTCTTTTGGGATGTGTTTGTTGGAAAAGGTGACACTTGAGTATTCTTATAGCGAATGGAAAAATCCAGCTCATATCTATAAGAAAGTAACCTCAGTAAGTATTGGAAATGGGAATTAAACCGGGTTCTCTTAGCAAAGTGGGTGATTCTGAACTGAAGGCATTCATTGAAAAATTTCTGGTTCCAGCAACTGAAAGATCATCTGCTGGAAAGCTTCTAGAAGATCCTTTTCTGAAAGAGGAAACACCAAGATCATTGAATTTGATGGAGATTGATCAATCTGTATGTTTAAACACCAAAGTGGAGTTGCTGAATTCAAGAGGATTCATCAGCAAAACGAGTTCAGGTTGAAAGGGATAAAGAATGATGACAATTCGGTTTCTTTGACCTTGTGGATTGCTGACCCATGTGGTGAGAAGATTTTTAATTAACATTTTTTTCTAATAAATTATTCAGATAAAAAAGAAATTAAGCGGTTTGAATTTTATAAAATTGTAAATGTGGTGCAAGGGTAGTTCTAAATATTTGCATCTGGTTTCAGGGGTTACTCAAGGAAAATGCAAATGGTAGCAAATACTGGGCATATGGAGGTGAGTTTGGAGATACACCAAATGACTTAAATTTCTGCTTAAATGGTCTCATATGGCTTGATCGGACTCCTCATCGTGCTCTAAATGGTGATTACTATAATTTTTTTGCTTAGTATTTAGGTTTTTGTTTCGTTATTTCCAACCAAAATGTTTCCATGATGAATCTTTTGGTAGAGACAATGTATAAGAATTACCTCATTGAGCTAATTATGATGCTATCCTTTGTTTATTTGTTTTCAGAGGTCAAGTATTGCTGTCAACCAATTAAAATTTCATTCACCAATGGCGTAATTAAGGTATCAATATCATCACTCTTACTTATTTATCTATATCATTTTCATGAAAATGTTTATGTTGCGTATTATATATTCATATGTCCAATTGTGCTTTCTATATAGCAAATGTTAACCTTGGTCTTTGCGTTTTTTGTTCATAGATTACAAACACCAATTTATTTCAAACAACAGAAGATCTAGAGTTTAATTGGGTGATTGAAGGTGATTTTGGCTCTTGAAACGAGACTCAAGATATCATATTTTGGCATGGCTAGAAGCTTTGGAGGAAACAAGACTCAAGCAAAAGTAAACACACAGAGAGTTGTTGGCACATAGTAAGCTAGATGATGCAATTGTATATAAATGAGTTCGTTTTTTTATAACATTTACTGACTTTTGGAATAATTATTTGTATTTGACATATTAGTGAAATGAATTATCTTTGTTATTTATAGTATTTTATTTTGTATTATGATATTTTTAATGTATTATTTAATTTGAAAATTAGTAAATTAATAAATAATATTTTTTTTTACATTTAAAATTATGATACGCAAAAATGTGTGTCGTCTTCATCTATGACATGGCCTTTCTTGACAGGGGCTTTCTTGATACACATTGTGTGTCATTAACACGCGCGTCGTAGGGTTACGACACGTGAATGCGTGTCGTCTTCCTTTATGACAGAGCCTTCCTTGAAACGCATTGCGTGTCGTAAAGGAGCGTCGTAAATGCGCGTCGTCTCTCTTTATGACAGGGCCTTCCTTGACGCGCATTTGCGCATCATCTGAGCCTTTTACGACGCGCAATGAGCGTCATAAAAGGTTGTTTTTCTAGTAGTGTGACTTTGACTTGGAATTTAGTGACCCTTGTAAGGGTTATGAGTATGAATTGGTAATGTAGAAAGGATTTTGTGTATGGATTGAGGAGTCAGGAAGAGTCGATTTTCACATCGAGGACGGTGCAGACACTACACGACATTGATGTGAGTTACCTTTCAGTAGAAGTGGGTCTAAGGCACCAAGGCCGACCCACTAGTAGGTTATTACAGTTGAGATGATTGTCTTTGTGATACTTTTCTAGTTTGCTACTACCTGACGTGCTCTACGTGACAGTATGATATGCTATATGTGATAATGGTAGTAGGAAGGGAATAGTCCCATGATTCGGTCGTTAGGACCGAAGCGTAGGTCGGACACCCCTGATATGTCTGACAGGATGATTATGATATGTTATTATGTGATAGTGGTAGGGGAGAAATAGTCCCCGTGACCGAGTGAGATAGACCGGAGGGTAGCCAGGCGCCCCAGAATGACCTGACACGGGTAGGTCAGCACCCCAGAATGGCTTGACATGGGTAGGTCAGCACCCCATAATAGCTTGACGTGGGTAGGTAGGGCACCCAAAATTGCTCGGCAGTATGTATGATTGTATGGTATATGGTATAATGGGGGAACTCACTAAGCTATATGCTTAAGGTTTTAAATTTTGGTTTCACATACCTCTTCATCTAAGGGGAAGGAGCCGGCAGGGTAGCAGCGCATCGCAAACACATGATTTCACATTTGAGAACCCTGTGATTGTACTCTGAGATTATACTATTTTCCATTATGGTTTTTTAGACATGTAACTATGGTTTTGTGGTTTGATGTGACATCTTTTTCCTAAAAAAATTTTACAAGTAATATAATTGAAAACAAAAATTTGTGGTCTCGATATTTGGGATGTTACAAGTTGGTATCAGAGCCTTGGTTTGAGGGATTCGGGCACACCTTCGGGGGTTTCTGGACTCAAATCGAGGTGTGTGATATGTGCGACCGGCCGAGCTCAAGTAAGTTTTTCCAATATACCCATACATGATATGTTATGTTATATGATATTATTATGAGAATTGCATGCTAGACTAGGGCTAAGGATCTAGAGAGGATACCTTGTATGCATGTTATGTGATTATGAGAACTGCATGCTAGATTAGGGCTAAGTATCTAGGAAAGATGCCTTATATGCCTATTATATGAGTTTATTAAGTTATATACTATGGTTTTTTAGTCAGCAGTATGATAGCTTGATTAGGTTATGTTTGGTAATGGATACTTGATGCACGAACGTTGCTTACTTTGTGCTTATAGGGAAAGATGGTAGGGACTCCTTGTGCATCTGATAGTAGAGAGTAGGTCGGAAAGTGACCTAGGGAAAGCATAGGATGAGATTAGTTTGGAAAGTTGTATTAGTAGAATGGACTTGGTGAAGTCGAAGCAATCCTTGAGGAAAGTATGGATAGATGTGGAAGATAGTATGGGCCTGTACTACTGGAAGCATAGGATTCGTACTCGAATCAAGGAGGGATAAGATAGAACTAGGAAACTTGGAGAGTATGTGAGACCTCTCGAGAGTATGTATTGCCCTGACGTTTATGTGATTTATTTCAGTATGGTGATTACGCGACATGGAGCAGGACGTTCAGATTATGGATTAGGATTAGGCTCGGGTGCCGGATCTGAGCAGGTTGATGACGGACTACACGAGTTCATCGCATCTGAGATCACAAGAGGTATCCTTGAGGTGACCCCGGTCATTTTCGGGTTGATCAAGGAGGGGATTATTGAGCTGATGGAGGATCGCCTTTGGAAATTCAAAAGTGACTTGGCATCCAGCCAGTCGGGTACGTGCACGCCGTCCTTCAAGGACTTCATGGGGAGTGGTGTGCCAGCTTTCACGGGGTAAAGGACCTCATTGCTGCCAGGAGATGGATCGCAGACATTGAATCTGCGCAGTTGACGAGCTTCTGCCTGGAAGGGTCGAAAGTCTGCTTTGTTGCAGGTTGTTTGAGAGACAAAGTTAGGGATTGGTGGGAGTCGATTGGTGACTCACTGGGATCCCCAGCTATCAAGGCTATAACTTGGTCGGACTTCTTGACCAACTTTAGGGTTAAGTTTGTGCCAGTTGTGGAGCTTCAGCAGCTGGCCAGGGATTTTCTTGACATGAGACAGACTACGGAATCACTGCGGAGATCACCGCCAAGTTCCGAGAGAGGGTCTTTTTGGTAACTCAGTATGCAGGGGATGAGGAGATGCAGAAGACCGACTATCATGATATGTTCAGGGCTGATATTTGGGAGCATGTCAGCTACTTAGCCTACCCGACCATGGATTCCATGATTGCCAGGGAAAGGGAGAGAGAGGTTGATTTAAAGCACCTCAATAAGAGGAAGGCAGAGACAGAGCAGGTTACTGGGGTTTCAGGGAAGAAACTCAAGGGAACGACACTAGGTCGAAGGGTCATCCAGGCCAAAGCCGCTGCAGGAAATGCGGTAGGCCGCATGAGGGAGCTTGTAGAGAAAGACCATCAGGTTGGTACAAGTGCCGCAAGACGGGGCACTTTGGCAAGGATTGTACTTCCCCTGCCCCTACTATTCAGACATCAGACATGATTTGCGTTCATTGCAATCAAAGGGGCCATAAAAGGCCAACTGCCCGAGATTGATAGCACCAGTAGCAGCGCTAGTGGTGGCGCCATCTCCATCGACTACTCGAGTTACAGATGGCCGGAAGGTTAAATCAGAGGCTCCAGTAGTGACGAGCCGAGCTTTCCAGTTGACAGCCGGAGAGGCATGTGTCGCACCCGATGTGGTGAGTTTCTTCTCTCCAACTTTTATTATATGTCGCTTGTGATATTGATATGCCATGTTATATATTTGTTTAGGATCATTCCATGTTAATGGTATCCCAGTTCAGGTGTTGTTTGATTCGGGTGATACTCGATCATTTGTCTCTGTTTCTTTTAGCAGGAGATTTGATGTGTGTAAAACTCACTTAGTTTTAATCCTACTTTAATTATCAAATAACACACAAAAGGCAGTGAACCTATCAATTGTGGTATAGTTTAAATAAGCAGGGTATCGAACACAGGGAACGGAAAATTAAATTAAAAACTAATTCTATCTAAATTACTTTAGCAAATAAGGGTTTTTCTCTAGTTTTACAAGACTAGAAACTTACTAAACAAAACTAATGCAAGACTAGAAAAGAACAAATTAACTAGATTCAATAATGGGAAAGAAGCTTCTGTTTAGTTCAACTCGGTTAACTTTATGGTTGATTTAAGGTAATAGTGCAATGGATTAATTCTTTCGTTGGAATACTGATTCAAGTGATTAAGTTGTGTTCACTACCCTAATCCTTAGCAAATAAACTAATTCAAACAGTGGCTAATTGCTTAATTTAATTATATTTACTAGATTAATTATTCGGGTTAAGTTAGACTTGCAATAGCTAATTAATTTATTATTCTTAATTAACCTCTTGTTCGATGGTCATCTTACAAGCTTGCACATGAATTTACTCAATTTCCTTATTAATCCTAGTTTCATATTCATTAATTCTAGACATATGATATAGTGGTCACATATCATATGAGGTTGATAATCAATAGATGTTCATGCTAATCAATTATCTTCCTATTAACAGAAAATTAATTATCATTCATACACAAGGTTCTTTAGCAAGCTAAAATAACAATTAATCACCAACTTAGAATTAATCCTACCAATCAATCAAACCATATTGTCAACTTTGTATCCCCAAACAGAAGTATAAAGAAATTAGTTCATAACTAAGGTGAATAACAGCAAACAAATAAGTTCAAGTTGCTTAATCATATTGACAAAACAAAAGAATTAAGTAGAATGGTGAAATTACGCCTTAATTACTCCCGGAATTGGATTCTAGCTTCTTTGGTCGACTTCTAGGGTTCTTCTGACTTCTTATTCGCAGCTAAGCACTTCTGAAACTTCCCAGAATTCTCCCTTCTCGCATTATAGAGTTATCTTTATATATGCATCCCGACTCGTCGAGTCATATGGTGACTCGTCGAGTCCCTCTCACATTAGTCGTAACCTGATAACTGTCTTGACTTCCGAATGCTTATCTTTCTGAATCCGCGACCGGACTCGTCGAGTCAAGGTGCAACTCGATGAGTAGAAGCCTTTTATGGGTGTTTTCTTTCTTCTTTCCACTCTTGAGCTCCTAACCGCTTCTCTTGCTTCCTTTCGCTTCCGAGCTTCATCTTTGGACTGAAAAACATAATTTAACACTTTTAAGTACCTTTTGTCCATAATATGCAACAATTTAGCTAATATATGAATAAATACTACACTTAATACACACTAAATATGCACATATCAAAATACCCCACACTTGTCTTTTGCTTGCCCTCAAGCAAAACTGAATTTTAACACATTAGAATCACATATAATAACTCCAATCCAACCCAGCCATTATGCCAAGACCGCAACGCATGCATTTGTGTCTAAAATTCCTATAAACCCCCCATACTTC